CTTGCTCCCTCCCACGTCTCTCATCCACACAGCTAACATCAGGGAATTTTTCTTTTTTAGAGCTAGATGTCAATGGAGGGTCTCCTTTCGCGCGCTCAGATCCGTCTTCCGTTTTCCTTTCCATATCGCCTTCACACCCTTCCCCTTGGGTCCTTTCCAATGTCGCCCCACACTTCTTTGTCCATAGTCGAGTACACGTTGCACCAACTCGCTTTCCAACGTCTCCCCCCCTCCTCGTCTCCTTTTTGATGGTGCACCCACATACATACATATATACACACACATACATACACACACACATACATACACATATACACATACATACATACACAATTTGATCATACTTTAGAAAAAACTTTACTTGATTTTAAAAATTTAATCCTTTCTGTCTTCAGAATTGTAGCAGCCAATTGTGTGCTGTCGTCCACTGCCAGGTGGGAACGCTAGAGAAGGACCATGGAGCTATGGTGACTATTCATTCAGTACTGTGGCTGCCACGTTTACAGGAGGTAAGAAATCATAATTTAATAGGTATAGACCAGTTTATAAACCTTCTGGAAAGGTCTGCTCTGCTAAATCAAAGCCATGCTAAAAAAGGTATCCAACTAGCTTACCAAGAGACTATAGTATGTTGCATTGAAATTATAAACACAGTTTACTCAATGTGTTGTCAGAATGCTGAAACGTTGTGGTATCCAAGAGGATAGGTACTTGTCTCATAGAACTGACAATGGAACATTCAGTGAAGGATCAACAGAAAAAAAAGAGGCAGCGGGGTAAATGGAGAAACAATGGGATGGTTTGGGTTCTACATATATCCTGTTAAGAGGCCATGGGAACTAGAGAACTGTGCCCAGGTCTTTAAGGAAAAGAGGCCCAAGGAAGGATCCGAAGCAAATTTTAAAAAAGGCACCCAGATCCAAGCATAAGAGGTAGCAAGTGAGAAAGAGTAGCATTGCATGAATAAACAAAAGCCCTTTGAATAATGAAAGCTGTGGAGCTGAAAGAATAATGATCATAGGACAAGATGTACTGGTAAATGAACATAGAGCATTGTAAGTGCAATATATTGCTTTGATTAAAGGGCTAAAGTAGGACTGAAAATAAATTAGGCAGAACTCCTCAGTTATTCCGTAACTAATCTTGAGTCAGTCATTGTTTTGTAGCCTAACCTACCATATAGGATTGTTATTGTTTTATATCACATTAGGCTACTGCAATTGATGTGTTAGATCTTAGAGCAGGTGACAAGCCAGCAGATGATTCACAAAGCAGCAAATGTTTATAGTCTCTTTCTGCCTTCTCCCACTCCACATATATTAATGAGTCCCCCCTGCTATTTCCTTCTTACACAATAGCTTCCAAAGCACCTTCTTATCCAATCCCAGGCCCAGTTTATTGCCACAGGGATGCCTTACAACATTCAGCCAGAGGTTCTACCCAGTGGGACTGCCCTGGTAAGTCCAGGATTATCAGCACTATTGGCAAATGTGAAGTTTTTTATCAATGCCAACATTTTTTCAACAGGATTTGAATTTTGGCTTAGAAAATCAAAATATTTTTTGAATCATAGCATTTATTAATTTCATAAATTCAAAGCTAAATATCAGTCTGCCTGGTTTGAGTCTTTTCTTCCTTTTCCCTCTCTATAATCTATATATATTGTAACTTGAATGCTGAAACTGCTAGATATGGACTGAAAGTTAATGGAACATTTTCCTGAATCATTTCCATTTTAGAAATTTAGAGCACTACCTTATTTATTCCTGGATAGTTCTGGAAAGTTGCTGACACCTGAAGAATTACATAGTATTGTGTCATATGGATGCCTATTCTGGTTAATAACCTGAGATTATCAATGGTCCTTTATACACATGTGCAGCCCTTTGTCCTTCTCTTAATGATCTCAAACCATGAAGACCCTGATTAGCCATTTTGTTTCCCACTTAATCTGAATTGGGCAAGTATATTTTCTAAAACTTGAGGATTTGATAGATTTGCTATATTAGGAATACGGTACCTTTATTCTAAAGTTTCAGTCATGTTGTTGGAGACTTCCTGGCTTTACAAAGGGGAAGTAAATGAGATTATTTGTAGAGGCAAAACAATACTTCATATTTCATTTTCCTAAACCAAGATATGATTGGCAGAGTGACTAATAACAATTTAGCAAAATCTTCTCTTCAAAACATAACTGCAGTTCCATCTTTTAACAGCCTTGCAAGTATGGGTTGGGAATGACAATCATTATTTTGTTATTTCTTCTTGGCTATAATATCAACCTGTTAATTCATCTAGTTTTCTTTCTCCCATCTCTTTCCTGCTGCTCACAGGCTACAACATTAGTCGAATGGGTGAACCCTGATGCCGAGAGAGACATCCCTGTATGGTGGATCGTAACAGCTGTGTTGGTGGGACTTCTCCTCCTTGCAGTCTCCATTATTGTTCTTTGGAAGGTACATGAAACCCTGGGCAGGGAAGCCTGACCTGTATAAAGCACAGGATGCAAAAGTCCAAGCACACGCTCCTCTTCATGCTGTCCTGGAGAGAGAACCAGGGTCTGCTTTTTGGAGGCAAGATAGCCAGGGATACATCATATAATCTGGAGAACATAGCGGATGAACTCTCTGATGTCTGCTGGTTGCATAAGCTTATCTGTAAACAACAGAAAATAAAAAGCAATGTCTAAGTAAAGTTAAGGATGGTAACAAAATTATAAACATCCTGTCCTGGGACTAGCCCCTCTGACTGCCAATTCCAACCTAGTTTTGGAATAGAAAATGCTTTGATGGGTTTGAGCAAATGATCAAACAGATTATTTTCCTTCTGATCCTTAAAATGAATAAATAGTTGACAGTTTGAGATTGCTTAGACAGTTAGTAGGTGGAAGGTACCCTAGCTTCGCTTCTGGGCTCTTCAGTTAATATGCTAAATAAATACATAGCTTTGTGTGGTATATTTTAGCCATGTCAGAAGCGTCCACCTATGACAGTGATGGCAAACTTTTTAGAGACCGAGTGCCCAAACTGCAACCCAAAACCCACTTATGCATTGTTGGGTGCCGGGTGGGTGTGGCCCATTGGGTGGGTGTGGCTGCGGTGGTAACAGCAGACTGGGTGGGACTAAAAAGTTCAATCAATCAATTCCAATTTTGCAAGATCTTTTTTTTCCCCGCGAGAAGTTGAAATTGATTGATTGAACCTTTTTTTTTTTTTGCACACGGCGGCAGAGGCCTAAAGCGAAAAGGTTTTATAAAACCCAGCTGAAGGCCTAGGACTGGGGCGACAGCGCGCGTGCCCACAGAGAGGGCTCTGAGTGCCGCCTCTGGCACCCGTGCCATAGGTTCGCCACCACTGCCCTATGAGAAACTACTTCACACCTAAAGTGACTTGTTTCTTATTCACTCTGTTTTCCCACTTTCTTTCCTTCAATAGACAGGCTTTTTCAAGAGAAAGCGACCACCCACCGAGGATGAAGAGCAGCTAACTCATGATTCTGGAGTTCAGTCAGCTGGAGCGAGGCAATAGGGTATTCTATTCCTCCCATATCTAATCTCATTATTGAATGGATCTATTCCTTTCCTGCTCATATTCTCTAGTGTTCAGATACCAGCAACAGGCAGTTTGTAGAGAATGTAATTTACTCACTCCCTGGATGTGCAAGTCACATTTTTATCAGCTCCTCGATTTCAGAAATCATGTCCTGGCTGCAAAGCTTTGTTATAAACCCACCAAATGGATTACCAACTGCAGATTCAAAAACTCATCTATTTATAATAATAAACAGCTAATGGAAGATAATGTTATAAAAATTCAATGCTTTAAAGAATCCTTCACAACCTAACTTAAAAATAAACGTTTTGCTTATTAAAGGGAAAGTCAGTGGGTATAAAAAATTGCCTAATGTATTAAATGCACATGAAATGTGTCTGATTCCATCAACATTCTTGCAGCTAGGAAAATTCTAATTTTCTTTTAAATAATGATATTTTTGTATAGTGTACTTTGTTCCTTTTTATATCATTTCCCTTTATTATATAAATCTGTTGCAGACTGTAGTATTCCTTAATAATTAAGGTATGAACACTCTTGTAAAAAATCTGTGGGCTGATCTGAGAAACTATTAACTATTCCTCATTCATAACCAATCGGTTTCCAGGTACAATTCCTTCCCAATATAAAAAAAAAGAATAAACATTAATACTTTTACACTAACAATATTGGCTTCTTTGACTCTTTGTGGTCCATGGGGAAGTCAGGTGATGTTGATGCTCAGAGTTGACTTCTGGGATTACAAACATCACCCCAGCAATGTCTAGTCCAATAGAGATTAAAGTCATTTTGGGTCTGTTCCAAAGCTGAAGATGTAGACAAGAGAAGTCTGCTGAATCTGTTCCCTCAGGCACCTTGTTTCCCCGGGGACTTCTGAACTCAACAACTGGTTATACAAGACATGAAACATATTCTTCTGATTTATAAAATACTTTGCCCTTCAATCAACAAAAGCTACAATTTAGATTCTTTAAAGGTGTATTTTGGTATTGTAGCACAACAACCATAATGTTCTGAAAAAAACTGCAAGTCATGTAGAGACTTCTTCAAAAGTTTTTATTTATTGCCTTCTATCAATATCATGTAGTTCTTTGCGCAGTAGTTTGGGAGCTATTAATTTGTGACTAAAGCTTGTTTTCTTCATTGTCCCAATTAGTTAATTAAAATTGGAACATTTCTTTTGAAGGAAAAACTATATGCAAATAAGCAGTGATCTCTCTCTCCCCCTCCCCCCTTTCTTTTCTGGGAAATTTTTGAAAACACATTTCTTGTTATTCAGAGCATGTAACAGGCAAACCATGTGATTGCTGAAGTTTGTTAATATTCAAGACATCAGCACCTTGAAATGGGAAGGAGGGGGATAGGGATAATGTACATGGTTGTCATCTAAAGCCAACCGGAGGTTTTGTTCTTCAGAAGTACAACATTGTTCAGAAGATAGCTAGTTTGAAGACTCCTTGGATTTGGTCTGAACAGGGAAGGATTTTCACTTTCTAACTAAACTTTGATATAGCAGTTTCTCACTTAAGAGCCTACAACTGATGCACAGAAACACATGGACATGATTTCAGCAATTAGCAGTTTTTAAAGGAAAAGTAGCTTTGGGAGAAGTGCCTGAAAAAGAGCAACAATATAGACCACTGATAACTCTTTCCTTCCCACTTTCATTTCCTTTATGGGTACTTTTTGCCCATGTTCCTGATATATACTTCGAAGGGAAACAGATTTTGGGATGCTGCAGGAACAAAAGCAACTCTATTGCTGAGAGACTTTTGTTGTGATGGTATAGAAACACATCCAGCCATACTAGGCAAGAGAAAACCATCAGGCTTTTTTATTTTAAAAACATGCCTGCTGTGAATTCAAGGTTGGGAAGAGTCCCTCTCCTCTCAAGTTCAGGAACTTTCCTAACCCCAAGGCATCCTGAAAGCACTCAAGAGCCTTTACGGAATCAGGAAGCATTTCAGCAAGCTACAAGTCTGGATTTAAAATGCTAACATCTGGATCAGGTTTTTTTTTCCAAACCTGACAACTTTCGAGGATCTAGGGCAGGGGTGGTCAAACTCTCAATGTCACATGACGTGTCGTGATGTATCATGACTTTTTTTTCCATTGCCAGCAATGGGGTGAGTACAGTTTCGCCATGACACATCCAGCCCGCGGGCCGGCAGTTTGACACCCCTGATCTAGGGAATTCAGTTCCCCAGCATGCTGACTTGGGAATTCTGGAACTTAAAGTCTACACACATAAAGTTCCATGTTTGACAAACACTGATCTATAAAAAAATTCCACTGAAATCAATAATCACTGGATTTGCCCTAAATACTACAGTATATGATTAAATCTGGTCCAACCATTACATTAAATTTATTATATTTTTATCCATAGTGCCAACAGGCATCTTTCTACAGTTATTTTTACTCAGGAAGGTTAAATTATTTAATTAATTTCCTAGCTGATAATATGTTTGCATTTCCAGAATTCCATTAAAAAAAAAGTTTTATTCATTTCCTTGTTGTAAACTCTCTGTCCCACAATTGGGCAGTTTGTAAAGATTACAAATAATTTTTTAATATAATTGTATTTAAAGTTTTAAAAACAAAAATAAAAACTACTACAAACTAATATAGAGTGAGGAAGAAAAAAAGAAATCAAAGATAGCTAAAAATGCAAGGAAGGAAGAAAAAGAAAAATAGGGGGGGGGAAAAGGGGCAAAGAAGTGGCATCGTCTTTACAGCAGCTGTAAGTACAATTATAAATTTACCTTTCAGTAGTAACTGAGACACCTCCTTAATTCACAGAAATATAATAAGGAGGAGAGGTACAACATAATCATATTTGCAAGATACTTTGGTCATAATCAATCAAAGTAGTTTTAGCCTTCCTATAGAGTTGATTTCTTGCGCTGGTCTGTCTCATTGGGCTGAACAATCCTACCTCAAGTCATCAGTGAGAGCCACCCCTATGATTTCAATCCAGGATTGCAGCCTGCAATCCTGTCTGCCAAATAATCCAGTGTTCTTTGTAACTGCTGTCCTATTATCTTCCATAGAGATAGGGCAGTAGTTGTTGAATCCAAGGAGACCTCTCTTAAGATTGCTGGTTTGGCATCTCCTCCTCCTGCAAGTATGCGTTGACTGCAGCTCGAATCCAACTCCTTGTTCCCTTTCTGGACAAGGCTATGGGAAAGATTCCAAGGCAGGCTCAGACTGATGACAAACCAGCCAAGTTTTAATCCAGCTCATGCCTTCCCTAGGATCATCTGGAACCATCCAACCATTGCTTCACCCCATAACCATGCAGGAAGGCCCAGAAGGGCAAATACAGATTACATCAGACTAGTATTTTGGATACTAGAGCTTGTGAAGAATTTCAGAGTCGGGAAACATTATAGTCTACGGTATTTTACATTATTTTACATGTGCAAAAGATTGTTCATTGCTCATTGTTTCAGGAGGATGCCTGTTCACTTCTGTGGCTTTCTTTTTCCCATTCGTTTCCTATTAGTCTGAACAAAACTTAATCGGAATAGCAGCCATGTTTTGCACATGCTCAGAGACATATTTTTGGAGCGTTGCTGATAGGAGATGCGCCTCCTTACGTGCCTCAGGACCCCAGGTCGATATTGATCACAGTTTCTAGGTGAGGTAAGACAAGGGCGGAGCGTTGGAAACGAAGTAGGCGGCAGCCGCGGCTGCAACACCGAGACGATCGCGGTGTTCGTTCGCCCAGTAGGTGGAGCCGTTTGAGCTCCCCCAATCTTGTCGCTGGACAGGAGGGGCTGCCGGACTGGGGTAGCATCGCAGCGCCGCCTCTGCTGTCGCCGGCGCATAACCGGATCCTGCAGAGCCAGCTCTGTTGCTGCCGAAGGTTCTCTGGACGCGCCATGGCCGGGTAGCAGGAGCCGGTGGGGGCGGCCAGAATGCTGCGGGCGCCGACTGTGGCGATGCGCTTCGCCATCCTCTTATCGCTGCTCTTCGGCCCCGGCTGGTCAGCTTTGGGCAAGACGCAGCCGGGGGAGCCTCCCAGCCCGCAGGGTAAGTGGCTGCGAGACTAGCGGGGAAAAGCTCACGGGGCGCGGCGGGGTGGAGAGAGGGGGGGTTGTCGAGGCCCCGCTCGTTTTCCGCGGCTGGGGTGGGTGGGGCAGTTTGGAGGGATGGATGCAGTGCCTTCGGGTGGAGGGAGCCTGGAGTCTGAAATTGTCGCCTTCCTGTCCCTTCCCGCTCTCGGTCAAGGTGAATCGCGCCAGGGTGGGGGCAGATCTACGTCCTTTTATTCTTGCCGTTTTTTGAGCGTTTCGACTTTCTCTGCAAGAAATCAGATGGGGAAGATTGGAAGAGGTTGTAGCAGAACGAAGGAGATGCGACGCACGAAAAGGGGAAGGAAAGAAAACGGATAGGTCCACGCTTTTTTTTTAATCACGCGTCTTCCATCCTGTATCCCGCCTTTCTTGATATTGGAAGCCGCATTGTCTTCTCCCCTTGGAGGGCGCCCCTCCCGGACAAAGAAAGTCAAAATGGGGCAGGAATCAACCAGCTGCTTACTGGGGGTCTTGATTGGGTATCCTTGCATGGCTGCAACCTGCACCTCCCAGGCATGGAGTGAGAGGGGAGAGGAAGAGGAGAACTACATATATTAAGGGTAGGGTAAATCTCCGATATTATCGCTCAGCCATGGTAGCAATCCCCCTGCCCATCTCTCTTCTCCTCCTTTTCTCCTCCCCCACTTTACCCGTCCATCTCCTTACATGGCAATCTTGATTCCCCCTACCCACACAGCCACAGCTAGGGTCTTTTCCTCCTATTTCCTTCCCCAGGGCTTTGTCTGCCTTTCTGTCCTTTTCTCTAACAGATGTGCCCCTTTTCTTATCCTGCTTTTCTTATCCAGCCTTCTTCCTTCCAGATTCCTACTTGGTCCACACCCATTCGTTCTCTATATATCCTCTCTGACCTCTGTTGCTGTACCTGTTGACGCTCCAGCATTCTCTTTGTTTGTCTTCAGTAGTTTTTATAGATCTACACACATTCTTGTGTATATTGTCCTCAGATGTGTCAGCTTTTTCACTGAGTCTTTATTGTCTGAAATAAATATGACATGTCTGTTTTGTGGCATTCAAACATAGATGTAGGTTGAAGCTATCAGCTTAATTTAAATTTTAGTTATTTATCTTACATTCTATCTTTCCATCTTTCTATCTCCCATTAATTTTGTTTCTTCTCTTCACCCCTATTTGATAGCCACTTCTATTTTTCCAAAAGGCTCAATAACTTAATTATGGGTCCCTGCCTTAATTATGGCTCCTTCTTTGCACCATATACATCCATCAAGGGAACCTCACTTGGAATATGGCATGTGCCCTTGAGTCTCTGTGACCACTTATGGAATAGGACCTAAAGGGAAGCATCCTCTCCGTGCTGGTGAGAAATGGCAGCCAATGAAAGTCCTAGGAGGAGTGTCCCCGAATGAGTCTGAAAATCAGAAGAGTCTGGCTACACCATATGAGTATATGTTTGCTTTTGTGTAGTTGCATCTCATTTGATTTCAGTGGCCTTCCATACACTTGTTGTTTATGTCTTGGGTTTACATGGCAGAACAGAGACAGAGGTTCTGTTTATTCTGGCTGGTGAACTGCATATTTTTGTAAATGGCTGAAATGACTGAAATAATTAAATCTTTATATGTGGGTAGATGTGACAACTGTTCCTTATATGCGATGCAAATAAGTCATTAATTCATTTTTATCTCAACAAGGGGATAATAAATTCTGTGATTTTTGGAAATCGATGTCTTCTCTAGAACTGCCATTACATTTTGGAAGAACTGGTTCCACCCACTTATTTTCAAGTCGTCTGTGCACCTGCTGCTCCTGAGAGCCACACCAGCATATTCATGTATCAACAACATCTAGAGTTGGCTGGTTGGCAGTAAGCCACAAGCTCTTCAGCCTAATCTTGCATTGTGTGGTTTCATAGGAAGAATAAAGAAAAAACATGGTACAAGTCTAGTTTTTAAAAGGAAGACTTATCTGTGCCTTTTTATATCAAACTGGAGTTATGCTCAATCTGGTTTTCTTTGCTTAAAGAACAGAACAAGGAATACTGCATTGCTCTGTATCTGGACCAGTTCCTGTTCTCCTTTTATATTTGGGAAGATGTGTGATTTAATGTGTCTTATCTTTAGATTATATTAAATTAAAAATTATATGTTACTTACAGTCAAAACTATTCACAATTCAGAAAAATTACCAATGCTAATTCATGAATATCCTTAGACAATAGTTATGGCTTTGCGTAAATGTCTCTTGGACTATAAAATATGCACAATAAAATAGTTGAATAATGTCTAAGTTGCTTTTACTGTGCTATGTTTAAAACACACTTAAGTACTTTATCATTGGGACATGCTGGTTTAACTGTCATGCCATTAAAATCTCCTGTCCCTATATTAGCATTAGCCCCTGACAATGTTTCCTTAGTTGGCTGCCATGTTGCCTTAGTTAATTCCATGTTTCCTTAGTCAATAAATTGCTCTGAAAGTCTCCATTCCAAATTAAACTCTGCTTCAAATTTCCTCCTCTGCTTTTGTTTTACAAAACTACAACACATTATGGATATCCTGCTCCTTATAATCCTTATATTGTGGTTTATCACCTTACTTCGTTCAAAAGGGAGTCTTTTTAAATGCACTTAGATATTCTTTGCTTTCTTACTATTGCCCAGAACTTGATCCTGATAACAGATTGAAACAGATTTATATGCTGCCTGTTAAGTCTGGAGAATAATGGCGCTTGAGACGAAGCATTTCTAACAAGTCTTTATTCTCTGCTTCCATTCTACGAACAACCCGAGCAGAGGCACGCAGGCCTCTATTTATACCTTCTGATCCCCGGGCAAGTTCAACCAATCACGAGGCGGTCTTTTCCCGCCTTGCGCATGCGCGCAAGGCCGGCGCCACTCAGTCT